CTCCCTCCGTCTTGCCCTCGCCCTCGCACTCGCCAGAGCCAGAGCCGGGCCTTGAACTCCACCTCGTCCAGGAGCGGCTGCAGCTCGGGCCTCAAGTTCTGGAGCCTTCGGGGGGAAGGGAGGGGGGAGGACGATGGCCAGGGTGGGAGGAGCGAGTATCCAGGAGAAGCCAGGAGGAGCGAGGAGGAGCGAGGAGGGGCGAGGAGGAGCCAGGCGAATCGAAGAGCGAGGATGGATAGGAGGAAGCAGGAGAGGAGAAGACAAGGGAAGGAGGAGGGGGAGGAAGATAGGCGAGCCCCAGGGGACGGTCGGTGCCGACTGCGCCTGCGCCCGCCGCGCCGCCGCGCTGGCAGAGGCACCTGGAGCGGCCGAACTGCAGTTCCTTGCACAGGGAAACCCAGGCGAGAAGGCGGAGGAGGGGGGAGGGGGGGGAGGAGGGGCGAGGAGAAGAAAGAAGGAGCGAGGGGATGAGGAGAAGATGGGGGGAAGGTTCAGAAGGGGTTAAGGCGAGGGGGAGGGGGAGAAGGGGAAGCCGAGGGAACGGGTGATTTAGAAAGGCCTGGGTCCTATTACATAGAAGCGGGGGTAGGGAGCCACAGTGGGATAAATGAGGAGGGAGAGAGGACAGGAGCTGTGGGCACCATGGGATGCAAGACGAAGATAAGAAGGTGAGGAGAGGAGGGGGAGGCAGAGAGAGAAGGGCGGAGGAGAGCGAGGACGGGGGAGGGAGAGAGGGACAAGGGAGGACGAGTAATGAAGGGGAGGAAAGAGGCAGACTTGAGGTGGACGACGACTTAGACTGTACTGTCCGTCTTCCAAGTTGCCGCCAGTCAGGCAGACATGCGCTAGCGCTGCACACGTGATCACCAAAGCTTTTTCGCGTAAGTAAGATGACATGATTTAATCAGCCTTGCGCTGGCCTTAATCGGACACGACATACACCGAGGGAAGTTGGAGTGGTAGTAAAAGGATTGGCAGGTGGGCAAATGGTGGAAGAACGACCGTGAATTACCTTGCTGACACCGCATTTCTGATACGCTCGCCCTTACGGGCTTCTTCGCTCTTTCGTTTTTCATTCGCACGTCCCGTTCCGACTAGTCTTCACTGAGGTTGTAACAATTCGAACTTACATTGTTCGTGCGTTCTGAGACGGCTCACGCTAGCCCACGCTGGTGCAGCGGAAAAAAAGGAAGAGAAGGAAGGAAGGAATAGGGAAAGAAAGGAGGAGAAGGAGGAGAGCGACAGTGAGGTGGAGGGGGGAGGACAGGAGGAGTAAAGAGGAGGAGGAGGACCAGTGTAAACCCAAGAGTCATCAACGGTGTTGGAATTAACACAACCTCCAAGCTACCTCTTCATAGGCCCCTACAACGGTTCATTTCCATTGGGGGAACTGCCTCGTTGGAAGATAACCGTTTGAAGATCCTGAAGCGTGCCAGAACATTGTTCTCTAGATTTCAACGCCACGTATCAACCTGACTGCGTATTGGCGATCCTGAATCGTACCAGAACGCGAATTTGGGGGTTTCAAACACCACGAATCAACATAACTGTTGCGGCCGCATAATCCTGAAATCTTCCAAAACACCATTTCTGGTACGTTGATCATGGGATTCCGTGAAACTCTTGCAAATGTTTCAAACGAATGCGCGAGGCGCTAAAGCGAGAGCCACATTCTGAAAAGGAACCGCTCTCAATCCGTGAAACCCTTGCAAATATTTGAAACGAGTGTGCGTGGCGCTAAGGCGAAAGCCACATGTTGAAAAAGAACCGCCCTCAATCCGCGAAACCCGTGCAAATGTTTAAAACGAATATGCGCGGCACTAAGGCGAGAGCCACATTTTGAAAAGGAACCGCCTTCAATCCGTGGAACTCTTGCTACTGTTTTGAAACGAACGTGCGCGGCGCTAGGTGGAGAGCCACATTTTGAAAACCAACCGCCCTCGATCCGCGAAACGCTTGCAATGTTTGGAAACAAATGTGCGCGGCGGTGATGCGAGAGCCACATGTTGAAGACCACCCGCCCTCAATCCGTGAAACCCCTACAAATTTCTAAAACGAATGTGCGCGGCGTTTACGCGAAAGCCACATGTTGAAAACCACCCGCACTCGATCCGTGAAACTCTTGCAAATTTTGAAAAACGAATGTGCGCGGCGATAAGGCGAGAGCCGTATGTTGAAAACGACCCGCCCTCCATCTGTGAAACTTCTGTCACTTTTTAAGCTTCAGAATGGTGACGAAGTTTCAGGCGAAACGCCTGGCCCGCCCTAAGAACTTGCCTCGGGGTGCGACAAGGAGGAGTTACCTTTCAGGAGAGCGAATGAAGGAGGAGGAGGAGGAGGAGCAAGGAGGAGGAGGAGGAGGAGGGGGCAGGAGGGAGAGCGACGTGAAGAGGAGTGAGGAAGAGGAGCAAGGAAGAGGAAGAGAGGGAAGAAGAGGAGAAAGAAGGAGAGGAGAAAGGAAGGAGAAAGCAAACGCCACCCGCTGCAGCTCTGCAGCGGGCGCTGGAGCCCCTCGGCACCACACCACCGACGCTGGTTGCCGCCGCCGCTGGCGGACGCCCGTCGAACGTCGCCCGTCGTCGCCGTCCGACGATCGCCAGTCGCCGGTCGCCGCCGCGGCTGGCAGTCGCCCGTCGAACGACGCCCGTCGTCGCCGTCCGCCGTTCGCCGTCCGCGGTTCGCTGTTCGCCATCGCCCGTCGTGCGTCGTGCGTCGTCGCCGCCGTCGCCGCCACCGTCTGAGGCCTCCGACGGGCTCCTCGTGGCCACGGGGCTGGGTTCCCCTCGAGGTGCTGGTCGGAGCGCAGGCCCAGAGAGGTCCAGGGGTGGAGTGCTGAGGCGTCGTGGCCGTCGCCGTCGCCCGTCGCCGTCGTTCGTCGCCGTCGCTCTGCGTCGTGGCCGTGGTCGTCCGTCGTCGCGGTCCTGCATAGTGCTGACCCTCGGCGGAGGAGCCGGGGGAGGGGGGGAGGGGGCGAGGAGGCAAAAGGAGCAGGGCTCAGAGGGCGCAGGGAAGGGAAGAGGAGAGAGAGGGGGGGCTGGGGGTGCAAGACGGGAAACGAGGAAACTACGGAGGTGGCAAGAGGGGAAGACGAGACGAGCAAAGAGCGAAAAGGGAACAGATGGGGGGGGTGCGGAAAGTGCGGGCGGGGGCGGAGAGATGAGAGAGAGGAGGCAGAGGCAGAACGGGCGGCAGCGGCGGCAGTGGCGGCAGCGGCGGCCGGCTGCAGGCAGACGCAGCGCGAGGGAACTTGCCGATGATGTCGTTCTCGATGTAGGACATATCATACAGCTTGCACCACTCCATCTTGACCCACTTCTCCAGCTCCTCCAGTGCGCGGCCGCGCCAGCCTCACTATCCGCCAATCGCCCGCTGAGAACCCTCGCGACCTCGCGGAGTCCTCGCGACCCCGCTCACTCGGGGGGGCGAGGGCAGGATGGGTCAGCATCGAGTCGGAACATCGCATCGAACCGAAAGGTGCATCGGATCGGGCTGCATCGGCACGAAATCGAAAGCGACTCGGAGCGGCTGCGCCGGAACGGCCAACAGCGCCACGCAGGCATCGTCGGCATATCGGAATCGAGTCAGGTCGGGCGGGCCCGAGCCGAGCACGCAGCGGAGCAAGCGGAGCGAGGTGGGCCGGGGGTGGAGCGGCACTCCTCGCGGCCGCGCGGCCCGTGCCGAGCCATGGCAGCCGCGACGCCAGGTGGTCAAAAAACAAAAAACGCGACGGGGGGAAGGAGCCCAGGGACACACATAAATAAATAGACATGGACCCCTGGATCCCCCATGTTGGCCCCTATTTTCTGGACGGTTCGTGTTCCCCTCCGCGTACGCATGATTCCCAAAGTTTCCAGGGAGTCGATCACTCTTCGTTTCTGCGCGTGTGCGTGTGCGCGTGTGTGCTTGGCACGAATCACGAAGATTGCGTTCGCTCGAAAACTCATTTGGCCTATTGCTGTCGTGGAAGGCCTCTCCGGCGACGGACCCATCTTTTCGGCGCGCCATTGTTCTCGCAAAGTATTTGCTTTACCAAAGAGTCGTTACTGCTCGAAGCTATTATTGTATAAATTCCCGCCACCAGAGCAAAACTTCAGAAAGTGGAATGTCACTGGCGTTGCTGACGACGTCCACGTTCTTGACTCTTGGTATGTACGAGCGCGGTATTCCCAAATTTCTGCGTAGACATCGGCAGTGAAAGGCATCTAATCGTTTGCTGACCGTTTTCAACTACTACTACTACTACTACTACTACTACTACTACTACTACTACTACTACAACTACTACTACTACTACTACTACTACTACTACTACTACTACTACTACTACTACTACTACTACTACTATTAACCAGAGTCCACATGATACAACACATTACTGACAACGCAAGTGATGTAAATTGTGAGCTTCCGAAGTCTCCCCATGGACGCGTGGCTCAATAACTTGTCCAATTGTTTGAACACTTTGTGTGGTTCCCCCAATCTGCGTCAAGTTCTGCGAATACTTTATCATCGCACGTGATGAAGCCACCGAGATATTTTGTGGCCCTCGTAGTTTCGATCGCCTCCCAAGTTGGTCGCGTAATTGTTTCATCTGTGGAAATGTGAATATGTACTGTCTTTTCCCAGTTCAACTCAATACCATATATTTGGCCTTCAGCCACAATTGCGGCCAAGATGGATTGCATGTTGTGTTTGTGCTGGGATGCTGAAAAGGTGTCGCTTGCATACCAGATGTCGCGCGTCACCACATAGGGGAGTTCCGGGGCCAGCTGGACGTCTGTGAACACATCGCTTAGCATCACAGATTGCACTGCTATGAATAAGTATGGAGAGAGCGGACAGCCTTGTGCTATCCCCAGCGAGGGACGGGGCCATCATGAAAATGACGAGACCCAGTCCGAAATTTGACGCGAGCTCCAACTGCATACATCCCACGACAACAGGACGCCCTCGTCAAAACGCGTCGGCAAACCCGAGTTCCAGCGTCCTCGAGTGCTCCGTTTCCCCGAGAGCGGGGAGGGAGAGAGAGGAGGAAGGGAGGACGGGGGCAGGAGAAGGAGGAGGACTTTTTCTTGGAGAAGGAGGAGGGGCAAGAGGGAGGGGATGATCGCGCAAAGCCAACACGAACACGATTGCCCTCGTCTGTCCTGTCCGCCCGGCAGCATCCCTCCCAGGAGGCGGGAGGAGGAGGAGGAGGAGGAGGAGGAGTAGAAGGAGGAATAGGAGGAGAAGAACTGCATTGCCGACGCCTGCAGATTTGGTGCTCTATGCCCTCGCGGGCTTCTCCGCCTCTCTGCCTCTCTTCGCATCTCCCGCGCCGCTCAGTCTGCACCCGGACAATCTGACGATTTACCCAATGCCATCGTACTCTCTCTCTCTCTCTCTCTCTCTCTTTCTCCTTTTATACATATATATATACATATACATATACATATACATATACATATACATATACATATACATATACATATACATATACAGATACAGATACATATACATATACATATACATATACATATACATATACATATACATATACATATACATATACATATGCATACACATATACATATACGTATACAAATATATATACATGTACATATACAAATGCATATACATATACATATACAAATACATATACATATACATATACATGTACATGTATATGTACATATATATACATATACATAATCATGTACATTTACATATACATACACATATACATATACATATACAACTATATATATGTGTATATATATGTGTATATATATGTATATGTATATACGATTTGTCTTGCAGATTAGACCGCAACAGTTCTTCGCTGACGCTTGTCTAACCCGAAACAGTGGAGGAGGAGGAGGAGGAGGAGGAGGAGGAAGAGGAGGAGGAGGAGGAGGAAGAGGAGGGGGAGGAGGAGCAGGAGGAGTAGGGGGAAAGGGAGGCGTTGTCGACACGACTGGCGGGACAGCGCCAGGCCCGCATGAAGCGGGCGGCGAAGCCTTGCCGCGGGGGCCGCACAGTGGTCGGAGCGCGAGTGCACTTCCTCCACCAGCAGCGAGGGGGCAGTGCAGATTCGCCGACGCCTCGGGGCTCCCTCGGCGTGTGACATGTTGCCCCTCCTCCTCCTCGCCTCCTCCTCCTCCCTCCTCCTCCCCTCCTCCTCCTCCCCCCTCCCCCTCCTCCTCCTCCTCCTCCTCCTCCTCCTCCTCCTCCTCCTCCCTCCTCCTCCTCCTCCTCCTCCCCCTCCTCCCCCTCTCCTCCTCCTCCTCCTCCTCCTCCTCCTCCTCCTCCTCCTCCTCCTCCTCCTCCTCCTCCTCCTCCCCGGGTCTTCATCGCCCGACCGAATCGCCAGATCGGATCGCACCGGAGCGCGCGTCGGCTTCTGAGCGCACTGGCGCGCAGCCGCGCCGCGGGCCTCCCCGCGCGCGGAGCAGGGGGGGAGGTCCTCCTGGTTCGGCGCGCGACGCGGCCGAGCAGGAGGGAGGGAGGGATGGAGGGAGGACAGGGAGGGAGGACAGGGAGGATCAGGCGGAGGAGGAGGAGGAGGAGGAGGAGGAGGAGGAGGAGGAGGAGGAGGAGGAGGAGGAGGAGGAGGAGGAGGAGGAGGAGGAGGAGGAGGAGGAGGACGACGACGGTGGCGACGAAGAGGAGGAGGCGATGGAGGAGGGAGGAGGGAGTGGGATCGGATCGGCCATCCACGATAGTGCTTCATCTGGGCAGCAGCCGGGTGAGTGCCACGCTCTATGAGTGCGACCATGGAGGAGGAAGGAGGACGACGAGGAGGAGGACGAAAAGGAGGAGGAGAAGGAGGAGGAATCTGCAGGAGGAGGAGGAAAAAGGAGGAGAAGGAGGAGAAGGAGGAGGTGGAGGAAGAGGAGGAGGAAGGAGGAGAAAGGAGGAGAAAAGAGGAGAAAAGAGGAAGGATAGAGGAGGGAGGAAGCGGAGAGGGAAGGAGGGATGAGTAGGGAGGGGGGGGAGGAGGAAGAATGGGAAGGAAGTGGGTGTGAGTGAGGAGGGAGGAGGAAGAGGAAGGAGGAGGGAGGAGGGAGGAGGGAGAAAGAAGAGGAAGAGGAGTAAGGAGGAAGAGGAAGGACGAGGAAGAGGAGGAGGAAGAGAAGGAAGAGGAGGAGGACCCTCAGCACGAACATTGAGCGAAAGCCACGTGGTCCTCCTGGTCCAGGGCATACCGGAGCAGCTCGAGCGAGGCCGTCGCCTGGACGCAGCCGCTGACGAAGAACTGCCTCCGTCGGGGGTCCGCGGCCAAGCTGCTCTCCATGGGGCTCGATTGCCGACATGGCTTTGCGGCCGTGCCAGGAAAAAGGTTGAGAAGGATCATCCGCCCTCCCCCTCCTCCTCCTCCTCCTCCTCCTCCTCCTCCTCCTCCTCCTCGCCCTCCTCTTCCTCCATCCGTTTTCCTCATGTGTCACAAACAACTCCTCCCTGCCGCACCCCGAGGCGTGTCAGCAGGGCGGGCGGGGCGTTCCGCCTGAGAGCTCCTCACCGTGTATGATCCGTCAGCTGGAAAGCTGCAGAGACGTTCACGGATGGAGGGCGCGTCGTTTTTTTCGTGTGGCTCTCGCCCTAGCGCCGCGCACAGACGGCTTGAAAACAGAACGAGGTCCACGGATAGAGGGCGGGTCCTTTCCAAAATGTGGCTCTCGCCTCAGGGTCGCGCACACTCGTCTCAAGACACTGCAGGAGCTTCACGGATGGAGGGCGGGCCGCTTTCAAAACGTGGCTCTCGCCTTCTGCGCTGCGCACACTCGCCTCAAGACATCGCAGGAGCTTCACGGATGGAGGGCGGGCCGCTTTCAGAACCGTGGCTCTCGCCCGAGCGCCGCGCACAGTCGTCCGAGAATTTTGCAAGAGCCTCACGGAGGGAGGGCGGGCCGTTTTCAAGACGTGGTTCTCGCCTTAGCGCTGCGCACATTCGCTTCAACAAAAAACCGCGCTCCTTTTCAGTGTCGCTTCCCACCGTAGCGCCGCCCACACATTCTCTCCTCAAGAGTTCTAGAACAGACTCGATATGATTATCATGGTTAAGAGTCCCAGAAATTGTGTGTTGGGCACGATGTCAGACTGTCAGGGCGAAACAGTTAGGCTGATTCGCGGTGTTGCAGTCCCAGGAACGGTGTTCTGACACGACTCTAGATCGCCAAGACGTAGCAGTAACGGTGATTCGCGGCGTCGGACTCCCAGAAATGGTGTTCTGGCACAGCTCAGAATTGTCTAACGGTTGTCTTCCGGCAGGGCAGTTCTCTCAGTGAAAATGACCCCTGACAGGGGCCTATGAATCGGAAACTTCAAGAGAGGGATACTGCAATAATAATGTTGACGAGTCTTGGGTTTACACTGGTCCTCCTCTTCCAACTCCCCGCCCTCCTCCTCCTCCTCCCTCCTCCCCCTGCTCCACTGCATCATATTCCTCCTCCTCCTCCTCCTGCGCCTCCTCCTGTTCCTCCTCCTCCTCCTCCAATTCCTCCTCCTTTTCCTCCTCCTCTTCCTCCTTCGTTTAGGGCTAGCCAGACAGGCGACGAAGCAGCTGCGTTCTTCTCTGGACGAAAAGAAGAGATCGTACGATGAAATCTGGTAAGGAGTAAAATCACCAGAGTACAAACCAAGCGGCGCAGGAGGTACGAAAAGCGCCGCTGGATCTCCCCCCAGGGGTGGGAGGGGGACCCCTCCCCCCCACCCTTTTCCCCGGTCCGTCGTCGGGGACCCCCCCCCTTTTCCCGGTCCGTCGTCGGGGACCCCCCCCCCTTTTTCCCGGTCCGTCCGGGGACCCCCTCCCCTTTCAAAAGCCGAGGTGTGGGGTCCCCCACTACCACCCCGAACCATAATCCTCACCCTAACCGCAGACCCTGACCCCAACCCCGAAACCTACCACCAAACAGCACTCGATACTCACTACTCACTACACACGACCCACGATTTACTACTCACTGCTTCCTACTCACTATTCCTTACTCACTACTCACTACTCACTACTCTATATTCACTGCTCACTACTCACTACGCACTACTCACTGCCCGCTACTCACTATTCACTTAACAATCCACTATCCAACACTCACTATTGACTATGCACTACTCAGTACTCACTACTCATTACTGTGTACTCACTACTCACTACTCTCCACTCGCTACTCCCTACACAGTACCCACTACCCACTACTCACTACTCACTACTTGATACTCCCTACTCGGTACTCGCTACGCAATACTCACTAATCACAACCCAATACGCACTACTCACTACTCGCTACCCGCTGCTCCCTACACCCTACTCACTACGCACTACTCACTACTCACTATTCACTATACTCATTAATCACTCCTCAGTAGTCACCACTCACGAGTCGCTACTCCCTACTCGCTACTCGCTAATCGATACTCCCTACTCACCACCCGCTACTCACTACTCACTTCTCACTCATCACTACTCACTACTCACTACTGGCCGCTCACTAATGACTAGTCACTAGTCACTACTGACAACTCACTACTCACCACTCACTACGCACTACTCACTACACACCACTCACTATTTACTACCCACTACTCGCTACCCACGTCTCACATATCATCACGCACTACTCACTACCCTCTACTCCCTACTCACTACTAACTAGTCACTACTCACTATTCGCTACTCCCTGCTCGCTACTCACAATTCACTACTCACTGTTCACTACCCCGTGTCACCCTACTCACTAATCGCTACTCTCTACTCACTAATCACTAATCACTACTCACTACTCACAACTCACCTCCCACTACTCAAAACTCCCTATTCACTACTCACTACTCACTAATCATTATTCCCTACTCACTACTCGCCTCGCTGCTCTCAACTCACAAACTACTACTCACTACTCACTACTCATGACTCACTCCTCACTACTCACTACTCTCTACTCACTACTCACTACCCACTACGCACTACCCACTACCCTATACTCGCTACTCACTACTCACAAATCACTACTCCCTACTCACTACTCGCTACTCTCTACTCACTGATCACTACTCACTGTCCACTACTCACTACTCACTTCTCACTACTCCCTACTCCCTACTCAGTACGCACTACTCATTATTCACGACTCGCTACCCATTACTCACTACTTCCTACCCCTTATCACTACTCACTACTCAGTACTCAGTACTCAGTATTCACTCCTCCCTACTCACTACTCACCACCCACGATTCACTACTCGCTAATGTCTACTCACTACTCACTACTCACTACCCGCTACTCACTACTCACTACTCACTATTCCCTACTTCATACTCCTACCCACCAATCTGGCACAGAAAGGAGCAGCGGAAGAGGCCCCCTCCCTGGCTCTCTGTCGGGCGCATAGGGGGGGGCGTCCGACCTCCCACCCTTACCAGCGCCAAGGGGCGGGGGGGCTCCGGACCCCCCCCACCTTCAAGGGAGGGCAGGGGGGATTCGGACCCCCCCCACCTTAAAGGGGTGAGGGGGAGGAGGGGTCGAAAATCTCCCCCCCCCTTTGAAGGGTCCTGCGAGCACACCCCCCTTTTTCAATTACAGGGTGATCCAGTGGCGCGCTTTCGGAAAAGCCGGCGATGCCATAGTCGGAGGTGAGAGCTGAGATCGCAGTGGAACGGAGAGCCCTTCACCGGGAAACCGGTCTCGGCTTCGTGCTCCTGTCGTGCGTGCGGGCGACGCGAAGCTGCGCGGGCGCGCGAGAGGCACGATGCCGCCGTGGCTAGGGGCCGTGGAGCCGGTTGTCCGCCCGCCGCCCCCCTGGTGCGCGGCGCGGTGTGTTCCGTCGGCGGCGCGGTGGATAGACCGATGGTGAGATCGACAGTGAGATCGACTGTGAGATCTGTTGAGATCGACCGTGAGATCTGGTGTGAGATCGGCAGTGAGCTCCGTTGTGACATCGGTAGTGGGATCTGATGTGGTGTCGAGGTCTATAGTGGGATGGGCAGTGAAATCGATGCTGAGATCGATCGTGAGATCGATTGGTAAATCGATTGTCAGACCGATAGTGAGATCGATGGTGAGATCGATTGTGAGCTCGATAGTGAGACTGCTGGTGAGAACTGTTTGAGATCGATAGTGCGCTAGAATGTGAGATCGATAATGAGTTCGATTGTCATATCGATTGTGAGATCGATTGGGAGATCGATAGTAAGATCGACTTGAAGATCGATCGTGGGATAGCTTGTGAGATCGATGGTGTGTTCGACTGTCAAATCGACAGTGAGATCTGTTGTGAAATCGATCGTGAGATCTGTTGTGAGATCGATAGTACGATCTGTTGTGAGATCGATGGTGAGATCACTCGTGGAACCTATAGTGGGATCGACAATGAGATCGATACTGAGATTGACCGTGAGATCGATTGTGAGATCGCTTGCACGACCGATAGTGAAATATGTTGTGAGATCGATCGTGAGATCGATTGTAAGATCGATAGCGAGACCGATGGTGAGATAGATCGTGAGATCGTTTGTCTGATCGATGGTAAAACCGATTGGGAGTTCGATAGTGGGATCTGATGTGAGATCGATTGGGAGATCGATAGTGAAATCGACAGTGAGTTTGCTTGTGAGATCGATCGCGATTTCGATTGCCAAATCGATAGTAAGATGTGTTGTGATATCGATAGTGAGATCTGTTGTGAAATCGATAGTGAGTCCGATTTGGATATCGATTGCGAGAGCGATAATGAGATCTGTTGTGAGACCGATGATGAAATATGTTCTGGTATCGGTAGTGAGCCCGAATGTGAAATCGATAGTGAGCTCGATTGTCAAATCGATAGTGAGATCGATAGTCAGATCGGTAGTGTAGTTGTAGTGAGATCGATAGTGAGATCGGTTGTGAGATCGACTGTGAGATCGATAGTGAGCTCGATAGTCAAATCGATAGTGAGATCGATACTCAGATCGGTAGTGTGATTGTAGTGAGATCGATAGTGAGATCGATTGTGAGATCGACTGTGAGATCGAAACTGAGATCCGCTGTGAGATCGATAGTGGGATCTGTTGTGAGATCGATCGGGAGATCTGTTGTAAAATCGGTGGTGAGATCGCTCGTGAAATCTACAGTGGGATCCCAAGTGAGATCGATACTGACATCAATTGTGAGATCGATTGTTAGATCGATTGTCAGACCGATAGTGAGATCGATGGTGAGATCGATTGTGAGCTCGATAGTGAGACTGCTAGTGACAGCTGTTGTGAGGTCGACAGTGAGATTGATTGGGAGATCGACTTGAAGATCGATAGTGAGATCGCTTGTGAGATCAGAGATCGATAGTAAGTTTGCTTGTGGAATCAATAGCGACTTCGATTGCCAATCGGTAGTGGGATCGACTGTGAGATCGAAAGTGGCATCAATTGTGAGTGAGCTCAAGAGTTTGATCGATGTGACATCGATTGACTGAGACGTTCTCCCCCTCCCCCCTCCCGAAACTCCACATCACCCAAAGGTGGTCGTATAGGTATTAGATCTGCAGGCGTCGGCAAGATAGTCCCCTCCCCCCCATGACGACCCTCAAGTCCCACCCCTATCGTGGCAGTGCTGGAACCTGTGGTAGATCGCTTCAGTGCAGGGCCAATGATCCAACGCGGTACACGTTCATCGAAGATGCTAGGGCCAATGTAACGATGCCCTGGCAGCAGTCAAGGATGGGCCGATGTAAAGATGCCCGTGACTATTGCTCTTGCCGAGCGTCAGGCAGAATTCAACATCCAACATCCACCTCTCATCCTCACATCTCCACGCTGCCCGTTGCCTCTTGGGTCGATGCCCTCACCGAGGGTTTCTTTACCGGGAGGATGCCCTCACCGAGGGCATCAAACATCGCCTCCACTTCCTCCCTACTGCCTCCATCGAGGGTCTTTACTGGCCTGCACACGCTCCTACTGAGCGATTGGTGTACATGGGTACTTCTTGCCCGATACGGTCTAGTCGCCAGCCCTCGCCGAAGGCCTCAGATCGAGCCAAGAACACAAGCGTCGTCTTCAGCGTCCTCATCCCCCACACAGCTCGGCATCCGGCTCTGCAGCCGACAGAAGCCGTGGGATCTTACGGATACTGCTGGAGGGTAACCTGCAGGTGCAAAAGATGCAGTGTCTGCCCTCGTCGAAAGTCTTGCTGGCGCTCCACCCCCACAGACCCTCCATGTTCCAACCTCCCCTCGCACCAACCCTACTGCCCTCACCTGAAGGGGCCCCAGGACACACAAATAGATACACACAAACAACCGGATTCCCCATATTTTCCCATATTTTCTGGGGTTCTGTCTTCCCCCCCACCTCCCATATTTTCCCATATCTTCTGGGGATTCGACGATGAATTGTGCCTGTGTGTTGTTTCCCCTCCTGACTGCTGCCCTAACCGGGCGCCTAGCGGTCGACTCGCTCGCGGCCGTCGTCTCGCCCAGAATCCCACTCTCCCACCGGCAACCGCTGGGGCTGCTAGAAAAAAATACAGTTTGACTACCTACCAGACCACCCCAACCCAACCCGAAGACCCGAATTTGACCCGAATTTCGGGTTGGGGGGGGTACGGATACCATGTGTTTTTTCAACGTTCCCCGAACCCCCCCCACTGGAAATGGAAGGCAAATTGAGGGCTTCGGGTTGGGTTGGGGTGGTCTGGTGGGTGGTGACAGTTGGCGGCGAACCTGCAGGTACAGAGGATGCAAGCTCTGCCCTCATCTAGGGTCCTGCCGGCGCCCCTCCCCCCCCCAAGTCCTCTCTCGCCCCAGCACCCCTACCCGACCCACAAGTGGGGGAGGGAGAGAGGACAGCGGAGGGATAGATATTCAAGGAGGAGTGGAGGTTACAAAATTGCGGAGGAAATGGAACTGACCAACTACAGGTGCGACTCCGCCTCCTGCCAGGGCCCGTAGCGCAATGCCGACGTAGGGCCAGCGGCGAGTCTACGGCCAACTCGAGCTGAATGTGGACTATAATCCGAACATCCTCCACCGCCACCATCCTCACTCCTCCACCACCGCACCCTCCGACACAACGAGCCAGCGTGCGGAAAATCGTGCCCGTCGGGGTCTGATCTGCGCAGAGAGACACAGATGGTAATAAAAATGGTGCGAAGGAAAAGAATTATGATGATGAGAAGGAAGGTGGTGATGGTGCTGATGGTAATGGTGATGGTGATGGTGATGGTGATGGTGATGGTGATGGTGATGGTGATGGTGATGGTGATGGTGATGGTGATGGTGATGGTGATGGTGATGGTGATGGTGATGGTGATGGTGATGGTGATGGTGATGGTGATGGTGATGATGATGATGGTGATGGTGATGGTGATGGTGATGGTGATGATGGTGATGGTGATGGTGATGGTGATGATGACGACAGTGACGATGGCGATGACGATGACGATGACGATGACGATGACGATAACGATGACGATGACGATGACAATGACGATGATCATGATGCCGATGATGCCGATGATGACGATGGTGATGGTGATGGTGATGATGACGATGATGATGAGGATAAGGAGCATGATGATGATGATAATGATGATGGTGGTGATAATGATGACGATGGCAATGACGATGACGATGACGAGGAGTAGGACGCTGACGCCGACGATGACAATGATGATGACGATGATGATGACGATGATGATGACAATGACGACGACGATGACGATGCCAAGAATGATGACGACGAGGATGACGACGATGATGATAGTGATGATGATGATGTTGATGATGATAATGAAGATGGAGATGAAGAAAAGATAATGGCGATGGTGAAGGGCATGATGTGCACGCGAAGCGTCAGAATGTGTTGGCGTGGCGCAACATGTCTTGCGCCTTTGCCTTCGCACCAGCTTTGAAAAGCAGAATGTGAAACCTCGGGCTCAATACAAGTCCTGTTGACCGTGACACCAGTGCCACTTGTCAGGCATTCGCTGAATTGCTTATCTGCGTCGTCCCACCGCTGCGCAAAACACTGCAAACCAAATTGATATATCCTCCTCCTCCTCCTCCTCCTCCTCCTCCTCCTCCGCCTCCTGGCCCTCTTCCTCATCCTCCTCCTTCTCCTCCTCCTCGTCCTCCTCCTTGCCCTCCTCCTAACTCCTCGTCCTCCTCCTCCTCGTCCGCCTCCTCCTCCTCCTCCTCCTCCGCACTTCCTCGCCCACTCCCTCGCCCTCTCCACCCTTCTCGCCCCGTCGCACCCCAAGGCAGGTCGCAAGGGCGGACCGGGCGTTTCGCCTGCGACTTCCTCGCCACACATGATCCTGAAGATTGAAACTTGCGACAATGTTCATTGCACCGGCACTGCAGACGTGCTGCAGCGGAGCTCTGCGTGGACTGCTGCGTGGATTTCTGCCCGAAAAGGCGCGTGAAAAACGAAGTGAATTTCGCGTGGATTTGTTGTAGTCTTTATCCCTGGCCAAACCCGCACGAAATTCACCTCGAAATCCGGAACCAAATTCTCCAGGACACTCCAGGCCCATTCTATCGTCTTCCGAACGAAATCGGCTCTGCGATGTTGGCGCCATGACAATGTTCACGGATGGAGGGCGGGCAGCTTTCAAAAGGTGGTTCTCGCCTCAGCGCCGCGCACACTCGTCTCAAGCATCTACAAGAGCTTCACGGATGGAGATCGGGTGGTTTTGAAACTGTAGCTCTCGCCTCAGCACCGCGCACATCTGCTTTAAAATGCAAGAGCTTCACGGACGTAGGGTGGGGCGTCTTCAGAATGTGATTCACGAATGACGCCGCGCAAATTCGGCATCAAAACTGGAGTAGCTTCACGAATAGAGGGCGGAACGTTGCCAAAAAGTGGCTCTCGCCTCAGCGCCGCGCACGTTCGTCTTAAAGAAATGCCAGAGCTTCATGGATGGAGGGCCGCTCCATTTCAAGATGTGGCTCTCGCCTTAGCGCGGCGCACGTTTACAACACGTCCACGGATTATCATGGCGATCGTCCCAGAAATAGCGTTCTTGCGCATGTCTGATTCTCAGGGCGCGACAGTTACGCTGATTGGCAGTGTTGGAGTTCCAAGAATGACATTCTGGCGCGATTCACGATCGTCAAGATGCAACAGTTACGGTGATTCGCGGCGTTGATGTCCCATGAATGGTGCACTGGCACAGTTCAAGATTATCAAACGGTTGTCTTCCAACGGTGCACTTCCCTCAGTGAAAAAAAACCCTGGTAGGAGCTATGAAGAGGGCACTTGGAGGGAAGGCTCCTCGCAATGTCGTTGATGAATAATGGGTTTACAATGGTGCTCTTACTCCTCCTCCTCATCCTTCTCCTCCTCCTCGCCCTCCTCGCCCTCCTCCTCAATCCGTCTAGGTTGTATACATAACTCACCCCTGTCGCAACCCCAGACGCGTCGGCAGGGCGAGCCTGGCGTTTCGCCCCGCCCAACCTCACAATTGAAGGTCCTGGATCTTGAAATTCGCAACAGTCCGATCGAAGGCCCCTCCCTCCCTCCCACTTCCTCCCTCGCTCGTACTAACCACTCCCCAATGTGTTCCTCCCTCCTCATCCCTCATCCTCCTCCTCCTCTTCATCCTCCTCATCCTTCTCCACATCCAATTAATGTCCTATCATCAGCCTGTCTGATCAACATCGTTGTCATCATCACCACCATCACCATCAACAGCATCATCAGCATCATAATCATCAGCATCAGCATCAGCCCCCCCCCTGCTGCTCCCCCCCCCCCTCCCTCCTCCCCTTCCTCCCTCCCCCTCCCTCCCCCTCCCTCCCCCTCCCCTCCCACGCCCTCCTCCTCCCCCCTGCCGCTCGCCGCCAGCCAGGCGCAGCGGGGCGCAGCGCGGCGCAGCGCGGCCGCGTTTCGAAGCGCGCGCGCGCGCGAAGCGCGGGCGGGCCTGAACTCCGCCACGCCGAGCTCCTCCAGCCTGGGGCGAGGGGGGCACCGCGAAAAGGTCCACGTCGCCGTCATCATCGTCCTCATCATCGCCACCACCCTCACCGTCGTCAGCATCAACAGCAGAATCGGCATTATCGCCGTCGTCGTCGTCAACATGACATCATCCTCGCAACCATCACCACCGCATCACCTCACCATCCGAATAATCCTCACAATGCTGATCGTCAGCAACACAACCGTCATCTTCTTCTTCGTATTCGTATTACTCTTCTTCTTCATCATCATCATCATCATCATCATCATCATCATCATCATCATCATCATCATGATCATCATCATCATCATCATCATCATCATCATCATCACCATCACCATCACCATCATCATCATCGACATCATCAGCAGCACCATCATCGGCATCATCATCAGCAACAGCATCAGCAGCATCACAATCATCGGCATAATCATCATCATCACCATCAGCAGCAACAGCAGCAGCATCATCAACATCAGCAGCATCAGTATCATCGTCATCATCGCCAGCATCATCATCATCATCATCATCATCATCATCATCATCCTCATCGGCAACAGCATCCTCATCGTCATCATCAGCATCAGCATCATCATCATCATCATCATCATCATCATCACCATCACCACCACCATCATCACCAGCATCATCAACATCAACACCAGCATCATCATCCACATCATCATCAGCAGCATCATCACCATCATCATCAGCATCAGCATCATCATCATCATCAGCATCATCATCAACATCATCATCATCATCAGCATCATCATAATCAGCATTATCAGAATGATCATCAGCATCATCACGGTCAGCATCAGCATCAGAATCAGAATCAGCATCAGCAGTATCGTCATCACAATTCGCCAAAAAATCACCACCACCAGCACCACCATCACCATCATCATCATCATCATCATCCTCATCATCATAATCAGATTCAGCATCCTCATCATCAGCATCATCATCATCGTCGTCGCCATCGCCATCATCAGCAGTATAGTCGCCGTCGTCATCATCAGCATCAACAACAACATCAGTGGCATCATCATCATCAGCAGCAGCATCAGCATCATCATCGCCACCAGCATCACCATCACCATCATCATCAGCAGCATCACCATCAGAACCTTCATCCTCATCATCAGCATCATCATCACCGTCGTCGACATCGTCATCGTCATCATCACTGCAGTCGTCGTCGCCGTCGTCGTCAACATCATCAGCATTAAAAACCTTATCGCCATCGTCGTTATTGTTGTCCTCGCCATCGGCATCGGAATCATCACCAGCAGCATCAGTATCATCGTCATCATCAGCATCAGCATCGTCAGCATCAGCATCAGCATCTCCATCATCATCATCATCACCATCGTCATCATCATCAACATCGTCATCATTAGGATCAACATCCTCATCATCATCATCATCATCATCATCATCATCATCATCGTCGTCGTCGTCATCATCATCAACATCGTCATCTTCATCGTCATCGTCATCGTCGCCGTAACTATTGCTATAAATGGGCTGGTCTAGATCGTATGCGATGTCGTCGTCGTCAACAGCATAAGCACAATCACCAGCATCATCGTCGGCCCCGTCATCATGTTCGGTTTCGTTTTCGTCATCGTCACCTTAATCAGCATTGCAATCACAGTCATTATCAACACCATCAACCTCATCATCGTCGTGGGCATCACAATTATCATCACCATCATCATCAGCAGAATCATCATCACAACCACCACAATCATCATACTCATCATCGTCATCGTCGTCATCGTCGCCATCGTCATGACCATCGTCAGTAACAACAACAACAACAACATCATCCACTCATCGTCATCATCATCAGTAGCATCATCATCAGCCATCGTCAGCATCGTCGTCGTCATCGTCGCCATCGTCATCATCGTCATCACCATCATCATCACCATCACCATCACCATCATCATCATCATCATCATCATCAACAACATCCTCATCATCATATCATCATCAGCATCGTCATCGTCGACATCATCAGCACAAAAATGAGATCATCATCATCACCATTCGTCATCGTAGCCATCAACATCAACATCGTCATCAGCAGCAGGAGCATCAGCATAACGATCAGATTCGTCGTCATCGTTTCACGTCATCATCATCATCGTCATCATCATCAGCTGCATCAGCATCATCATCATCAGCATCAGCATAAGCATCATCATTATCATCATCCTTATCATCAGCATCATCATCGTCATCACCATCATCACCATCATCGCAGTCGTATTCGTTGTCGTCTTCGTCACTGTTGCCATCATCGCGCACAGATGTTGCCGACCCCAACACCCTTCTCGACGAAGGTAATATAACGAGTCCTTCTCGTCCTTAAAAACAAACGACGCGAGACTTACCCAACCGTTTCTCCACGCAAGGCGACTATTTGCATGCAAACTCCATACACAAGAACACAGTGCGAGATATGCAGCACTCTGAAATTATTCGCCTAACATTGTCGGGCAACGCGCGTCGCGCACCTGCGCAGGATTGGGCCGCTGAGGACAGCGCCATGCGATGCGTGACGTTCCGGCGCTCTGCGCTCTGTGATGCAACAGTGTCGCACGCTAAATGACGCGACGGTGCCACGCGCCATGTGCGCACGCGCCATGTGGGCGCCCTGCACTCCGCCGTGCCGCCCAGGAGCCCACGAAAGTAGCCACAGTTGGGCAGTTCGAAGCCCCCAAGGGAGCCGCGAGGTCTGAAATGACCTGCGCTGCCCTCACCTCCGCCGTGTCTCCCGAAAGTGGCGACAATACCGCAGTTCGCAGCCACCAAGAGAGCCGCGAGGTCTCATCTGGACGAGCGTGCACCTCCAACCCGCTGGAGCTCCCAGGAGCCTACGAAAGTGGCGACCAATGCGCAATTCGCAGCCAGGGAGCCGCGAGGTCTCGTCTGGATGCGCATAACACCTCCACTCCGCTGGACCTCCCCGAAGCCCACAAAAGTGGCGACAAATGCCCAGTTCGCAGCCACCCAGGGAGCCGAAAGGTCTCGTCTGGATGCGCGTACACCTCCACTCCGCTCGTCCTCCCAGGAGCCCACGAAAGTGGCGTCCATAGAACAATTCGCAGCCACCCAGGGAGCCGCGAGGTCTCGTCTGGATACACGTACATTTCCACTCCGCTGGACCTTCTAGGAGCCCGCGAAAGTGGCAACAGTTGCGCAGTCCGCAGCCACCCGGGAGCAACGCAGGAGGAGTGGAGACCAGTGCTATATTCAAAACGACAACCCAACACAGGAGGGTTGGGGAAAAGACTCCTTCCCCTCTTCGGGGGGGAGCTTACCCGTCCCCCTACCCCCTTCCCCATGGGATTGGACCGAGGGGGGGGGGCGCGACCGATTGGAGCGTCCAAAATATCCAAACTAGAACCACGCGCGCGCTTCGCGCGCGCTTAGGTTCTAGCTAGGAGGCGAGCTTGAGTCAACGAAAGTCGCAGGGAAGGGGGCAGGGGGAAGAAGGCCAGAGAGCGCTGAAGGATACAAATACTGGAACCCTCTTGTGATTTTGTGGGGGGCCTCGTCCGGCCGCTCGCTGGGAGTTTGACGTAGCTTCTCGGGAGCCTCTGAACCTGTCGGGGGCCTCCTGGAAGCAGGTTCGAAGCATTTTGGGGGCCGATTTGGGGCTTCTCGGGGCCTCCTTTGGGCCTCTTGGGGGTCTCCTGGGGCCTCTTGAGGGGCCTCCTTGGGGCCTCCTGGCGGCCTCTTGGGGCGGAAGGCTCGAGCTTGCGGTTCGTGGTCCCCCTCTGGGCCCCCTCTTGGGCCCGTCTTGGGGCCCTCTTGGGCCATCTTGGGCGCCTCTTGGGCCGTCTTGGGGCCCTCTTGGGCTGTCCTGGGGCCCTCTTGGAAGCTTCTTGGGCCGTCTTGGGGCGGTCTTGGGCGCCTCTTGGGCCGTCTTGGACGCGGTGAAAGCCCAAGAGGCGAACATGCGAAAAATATACGTTTTCCCATAGGAATGGCACGATTTTTGCTTCTTGGGCCTCTCTTGGGCTGCCTCTCGGAGCGTCTTGGAGGCTTCTGGGACCTTCTTGGTGTCATGACAGGCGTCTTGGAAGGCATCTGGAGCCATCGGAGCGCGTTCCGAAGCCGCCTGCGAACGATCTTGGACGGCGTCCGGCGGTCCGACGAGCCTCCGGGCCCCCCGGGGCCCACATTTGTGGTCGGGGTCCCGGCCCCGGGCCCCCGGACCCGGTGCGCCGTTATATGTATAGATGGCCCCAAGACGGTCCTGGAAAGCCCAAGATGGCCTCCAAGATAGAATACTTCAACATGACTCGATATAGTTTCCAACATACCTCCGATATACTTCACGACAGCCCAAGGAGAGTTCCATGTGCCCTCCGCGGCTTCCAAAGCACCCCCCAACAGGCCAAAATCCTTCCAATGTTTGCGCCTGAGGAACATAAATGGGTGTTGCTTTCTCGTCTTTTCTCTTCCGACCGGCCTCTGAGGCCCCAAGATTATCCCAGTATGGCCCAACAGAGCCCCGAGAGGCCCCCAAGGCGGCCCCAAGAGCGCCCAAGAGCGCCCCAATAGCACCCCAAGAAGGCCCCATGTTTCAGCCTCCGCGGTAAACGCGCAAATTTCAACCATCCTCCCCCTGAAGCCGTGGGGCCCAAGATCGTCCCGAGAGAATATATATATATATATATATATATATATATATATATATATATATGAGCCCCAATAGGACCCGACCCCAAGAAGGCTCAAAAGGCTCCCGAAATGTCGCCCAGATGGCTCCAAGAGGCCTCCAGAAAGGCATCCAAAATGTTTCCCAAAAGCTCGCGGAGCGAAGCTTCCGCGAAAAATGTCTGGTTGACTCGTCCTTGTCGTCGTCGTCTTCAACTCGCCTGGGCTTCGTATCTGGATGAGCCGGTGGGGATATTATTTTTTTGGTCGCGGCCGCAGGCGAGAGCGCAAGCGGCGAGTCGTAAGTCCGG